CTAATAAATGCATATGTAAATACTTAATTTTAGAAGAAATACTATAAAGTTAACATGTAAGTATAACTTTATTTTTAGGTGCTCCGATATTACCTCAAGGATTGCAGCCTGAACAGGAACTACAGTTGTGGAATGAGGTAAAGAATTATCTTCATAGAAATTAGTGGAAAACTTTACCTTTCTTGGAACTTATCATGGTAAACTGAAATAATATAACTGAGATTTGGGACATTCATCATTCCAGGGCACTCCAAACTTTCTGATTCTAACTGTGTGCCCCTGTGACTCTGCCGGCTTGGCCTATGCTCAGGGCCGTCCGGAAATGCCTGGGAATAAACGCCCCCACTGAGTGCAGCCCTCAGTTGGTGATCCAAGGGAGTTGGCGGCTATATGCCTTAGCTCATTTGGGATAACTCTGAGTTCTGCATTGGCTCCCCAACTTCGCCGGACATATCGATCCCAGTTACCCACAGTGGTAATAATCTGCTCGATAACATTCCCTTTATTGGGTTTCTTCTTTTCCTTGTTGTATTTCTCTACTCTTCCATTAGTGCTTCTTGGGTTATCTCCCCCCCAATCTGCATATATCCACATCCTTATCTCAAGGCTTGTTTCTGGGGACTCCAACCTAAGACAGAAATTCACGTACACACAACCTTGACTAATAATAAAAGTAATACTAAATTCAGTGGGGAAAGGACAGATTGTTTGGCCAATGAGGATTGAGAAACTGCCTTGCTATATGGAGGAAAGTAAAACTCACATCCTAGACAAAGGTGGGCTGCAAGTGGATTAAAGATCTAGATATAAAGGGTAAAATTATTGAATTAATGGAAAATATTTTCTACTAGGAAAATATCTTTGTTAGCTAGGGGCAGGGAAAGACTTCTTAAATAAAACTTCAAATATAAATCATAGGGACAAAAATATGATGAATTGAATTGCATTAAAATTAAAAATTTCTTTCAACAAAAGACTCCATGGATAAGTGATTAATTTCTAGAAAACCTAAGAAATCCTATTAAATCATTTAGATAAAGATGGGAATCCAAAGTAAAACTAATCAAAGGACATAACAATTTAAGACGAAACCTAAAAGACCGACAAACATCTAAAATGATATTCAAATTCATTAGTAATAATGAAATGAAAATTAAGGAAACAGTGAAATGTCACTCTCCACCCATTATATGGGCAAAAAAAAATGGAAATTTAGATAATGGGAACTATCAGCAAGGATGTGGGGTGTATGGACCCTCACAGATTGGTGGCAAGAATGTCAACTCTGGAGCCATCTTGAAAACAGCCTAGATATCCCCATGGTCTAGCATTACCTCTCCTGTGTATGTAGCCCAAAGATACACTCCTACAGATCCATAAGTGGAGGACAGATACAAGGAGGTAATGGAAAGATTGGAGGGAACCCAGCTGCCTATCTTTGGAGAATGTGTAGGTAACATAGGGTGGGTGCATATTGTAGAGTGCTCTACAACAGTTAGAAGCAGCCTACTAGGAGTATCCAGTAACATGGATAGATCTTAAAGCATAGTACTAATTGAAAAAAAATTAAGAAAATACCATATATGTGCACCAAATAACAGTAATATTTTCTAAGAACCTAAGTAAGTAAATGGAGGATCCACCTTAATTGCATTAGAAAAGCTGCCTGTGGGAGAGTGGAATAGGAGCAAGAAATGGAAATGTAAAAAGAATAAGTAAAGCAAGTCCAATGATGATAGTGTGCTATGAGCTGAGGGGAATATCCTCTGTACCTAGCCACCTCCAACAATACATAAAAGGGAAAAAATAAGATAGATGGTGAGTGACAAGTACTAAACAGTCTTAATAGCATAGAAGTTCATAAAGTCTATTATAAGGATCTTTGCTTTGGTATATCAGAATACATGCCAGAAAAATATAAACAAGATGAAAGATAATTTAGACAACCGATAATGTATAATACAGAAAGTTATTTTAGCTTGAAATCATCTATATTTCTGTAAGAAATTTCTGAAAAAAATATTTTAGATGATAATGCTGGATAAAACTCAGATATGTAAAAGCCTTATAAATTCTTTTAGAGAAAAATATTTTAAAAAGTCAAGATGCTAAGAATACTAGGAACACATACTTTCAACCCATATACAGGGAATTAATAGACAGGAAAAATGAACAAGGGACATCTATCTGTAAAAAACAAAAATGCCTGTTACATGTTAGTACATTTTCAAACAAATTCATCAGTGGGCTCTACAGAGTTCTCAAAAGCAATTAGCAGTGCTTAAAACCATTAGGGCCAGTATCTGAGTAAAATGAACAAATGCTCACCCAAATGGAAAGTAGGGGAGCAATGTTGCTGTGCCTTTTTAAAGAAAGGAGAACAAAGGCTGAGGAGCTTTGCAATTATCTCTTCCATTGACTAATTGGTGTTTTTTTTTCTTATTCTGATGTTTTTATTCAAACAACATTGATGCACTAATTAGTTAATCTTGTGGCTCAAGAGTCCTCTGTTCTTGGACAGGGCCATCTCATAGAGCTGTGCAGCCTGCTCCGTGAGTGGACAGCTCTCCCCCGAGTGTGTGATGTCTTCAAGTACCTAAGCACCACAAAAATTTCAGGAGGAACCACTTTTTCCTACTTTGCTAAATCACTATAAATATCACTGGGAGATGATCTATTACACCTTAGTCACAATTCAAAGCTTAAAAGGGTATCTTTTTTTGGCTTTCCCCTCTTAATTGGTTTCTCATATTTCTTCCACAAATTCAATTAAATTTAGTTAAATGAGATTTATTGAGCACTTAATTCTGGGCAAGTTAGGTATGGTATAACCCCTGCCCTCAAGAAGTTGATCGCTGCGCGTGTGTGTGTGTGCGCGCACGCTCCATTTGTGATTCTGGGTTGGTATGTGCCACGGAAGAGAGAGCAGGTGGGTCAGCACAAGGGACAAGTGGATTAAGACAATTTCCAAGTATCTGTGCTATATAGAGAAGATGACAAGTTCTGTGAGGACAAACAGGAGAGAGACATACATGAGCTTATGTTTTCAACACAACTGGACACATTTGTTATTCTCTAAATTAGAAAATCATATATTTTAGGACATGTTCAACTTGGAAGCAATTAAGGATCTTGAGAAATTACGACCAAAGAGTATGGTAATCCCCTCCACTTCAGTTTGGTGGGAGACTGGAAATTAAATTAAACTGATCAACAAAGGATTCTGAGACTAGAAGGGGGCCCCTGAGATGTTATGCCATAAACAGGACTCCACCTAAATGATCCCAGACAGGGAAGAACCAGTACCATTTTTTTCCCCAAGACCATTTTAAAAGGCCATCAAAGAAATAAATGCCATAAACAACTCAGACATCCGGTTGAGAATAACTTCTCAACATGGTTTTTAAAATGATTAATATGTCTTATATAACAGTTTAAAATTTTTTGAGTTTTCTCGTTAGGACAAAAGTTGAGAAGAGCTGGTTGCCAACTCTGATTCAATAAACCTTTTCTAGTGCTGGCTTCTCGGTAGCAAACTGGTAGATTGCCCTTGTTGTGTAAGAGTTTGTAACTGCATACTATTTAACATGCTATTTATAACTTAGCACTTAACGCCATTATCATTTAATTTAGATGGTGTGGTTAGTTTATATGTAATAAAGAACCACGTGATTATAGGGTGCTTCCTAATTCTGAAGCCATTTTTAAATTACCACTCACATTTTTCAGGCTGACGAGTCCAGGAAGTTTTTTCCCTCAGTATTTGAAGGACCTTTATGCTTTCTGATGATTCATCTGAACTGTTCCTGGGAACATCCACCCCCTGTGGCTGGGGGTGAATTTTGGGGAAATCTCAATTTCAGGGCTTTCATAGAAAGTTTAAGAGGTTCTTCTCTCTCAAATCCAAGATTCCTAAGATGTCACGGAACTTTGATTACTATAATGTAGGCAACTTCACTTTGTAAAATCTGCTTTCCATTTTCTGTCTATTTTCAAGAAGTAACTTGCATTTTTGTTTTCTTCAGATAGGTGCTGCTTGTTCATCTTTCCTGCCCATTGGTTCTCAGTCTCAGGTAATTCTAATTGAGGCATTTTGTAATAAATACCCCATCGTTCCCTTTGGATCTGTCATTACTTTATGGACTTATTAAAGCATGCCAACACATTAGAAATTATTACCTCATCTACAGGTAATATTCAAAGCTATAACCTTATGTTTTAAAGTGCTAGGACTTTCATTTCTAAGTAAAATAGATTTGCAGATGATACACATATTTTGGAAAGTAAAATGCTAATTTCAAAATCAAACTCTGTGTTAGGTTAGAAATAATGTGTCTATTGCTGTACTTGGTGGGGGGGGGGGGCGCTGATATCCTGTCCCTTAACTCAATTTGAAACCCATGGAGGGAGAAACTTACAAACTCAGACTTATGGAAATCAAAGTATCATTGTAACCAAAAAGCCAATTTGTGAATGCAGCCTTGGAACTGATGCCAAGTATGTTTCTAAAACTATCCCCAGAATTAAACTGGATTAGGCAGTGACTCGGGACCTCTCACCAGAATCAGGTTTCTTACCACAGGGAAGAGATCTGACAAGAACAGCTGGCCAGGGAGCTGGCTCCCTAAGAGGAAAGGGCTAAACGGAGCACTCTTCTCTTCCTTCTGTCAGTCACCTCTCAGATAAGGCACTCCTCTTCCCACAGGAAAGAGTTAAGAGAGGGTGGGGAGAGAAGACTGTTAGTTCAGCTCCTGTGCGTGGAAACATGAAGAGGGGGATATCAGTGTGTCCTCCTTACACCATCTGTCTGCAGCTCTGTCTCCAAGGTACAGTAGAGGTAGACTTTGTGTCTTAACTTTTTAAATCAGTATCACTAGACTTCTGGATGGAGAAGAGGGCTCAGCAGAGGTGCGGTTTGACGCTTTCAGAGCAATCAGCTGTGTGCCTTGGGCCCTACATAGTCTGGCCAAGGTCCCATGACCTTCATAGGCCGAACGGAATGTCATTCTGGCTGTTGTGGAGACAGACAACAGTGTAAGTATAAGGCTATGCTTTGTCTGCCTCAAGCCGTCCCTTAATTTGCTGAGGATCACTTGAAGGAAGTTAGAAGCAACACCAGGGTCATAATAGGTGACCTGCTTATGAATAATAATTCAAATTACTTTAGGAGCGTTGATGGCTATATAATATATAATGGATACAGCATTCAAGCTTTTGTGTTGTATTTAATATTCAGGAACACCCTCAGAATCACTTTTATTCCTGCAGTACTAAACAGACAAATTTTAAAGCACTCATCTGAATACCACCATGAAGATAAACTAAGTTTTCATTGGATTTGGATACTATGTACATTTTGAGGAGAGGTTGCTAAATTTATTACAGAATCTTTTACATTACCTGATGCGATTTTTAAAAATCATTAATTTTCACATTGTTATTTTGTTTTATGTGATTATCTGAATAGCGCTTTAAAACATTTTTACCAAATAGAAAATAAAGAATCTTTAATGTCCAAAATAAAACAATAAAATATTAAAAATTAGTATAAAATAAATCCTTAAAGGATAGTTGTAGCTAATTAAATAATGGCTTCATGTAAAGAGTTGCTGGAGAAAACATAATTTGTTTTGAAACTTTTTCTGTAAAACTTCAATCTGGTTGCCAAGCCTCATCCAGCTTAGAATATCTTTTCTAAGGAGATACTCATATGTCTGAATTTATTATTCTTCAAATGAAGAGACACATCTTTGACAAATGGTATCACTAGATAGTTTTGTTATTGCTTTGTATTTTGTAGCATTTCTAGATGGGCCATAAAAAGAAGTTTCAGGGATTTATTTCCCAGTTTTTATGGGGTGACCTGTGTCTCCATCCATGAGAAGAAAAAGTGAGAAAAGACGTATCAGAGTTCACACTATTTTTTCTCTCATCCAACTCCCAGCCATAGGTGTAACAGACAATACCAATGCAACACAGGAATATCTAAAGGTCAGAAGACCTAGTTCCCAGGCCACACTCTACCAACTGCTAGAAATGTGTGATTTTGGGCAAGTGACAGTCTCTTGAAACCTTACTTCTTTTATATAAGAGAATAGCAGTTCCTCTCCTATATACCCCACAGATGTGTTTTAAGGACAGAATGTGAATTATGTATGTGAAAGTGTCTTGTAATTTACTGAAGCACTATATAAATTTGAGCCATTTAATATTATTAATAAATATCCTAACAACTTGCATGGCAGGCAAACAAGTGGAAGAGAACAAAGCAGACCTCTGATGCTAGGAGGGATGCTCTGAGAAACTGTTTCATGGCTCCAACTGTATCCCTAACTAAAACTAACCATATTAAGCATGCACTGGTGTTCAAAAGTTGAGGATATTGGTGACCCTGAACAATCCTTTCGACATGTCTCCTAAATCATGAGTAACTACAGCTGTAAATCAAGCTTTACAGGTCACACATTTTTAATGCTACTATTGTTAATTAATTGCTATGTACCTGGCACTGCGCTAAGAGCTTTACCCACATTTAATCCTTCCAAGAGCTCTCCGCAGTGATGTTGTCATCCCTGATTTATGGGTGAAGAGACTGAAGTTTACAGAAATTAAGTAACGAGACCAAAGTAACACAGCCAGTAAAGAGTAGAAGAGAATTTGCACTGCTACAGAGTTGCAGGCTGCTCAACTCTGTAGCCCATGTATTTAACCACTGATTTTATCACCCCCTTGGTTCCAGATCCTCATTACTTCTAATGTGCATTTATTAAGCAATCAGTTGTTCATGGCACTACTGTGTTAAGTTCTGTGCAAAGTAGGTTTCGCCCCTGCTTGTCCATTTGTGCGACTCCTCACCACACCCAGCTGGCTGCTAAGCACAGGGAGCCCTGCCCTACTTCTGCACTCAGATGCTTTGAAAACCTGATCCTGGGGTGTGCAGTCAGCAGCCTGGAAGGGTGGTAACTCAGATTAGGTGCCCATTCATGGCTTCTTCCCCTCCAACTCCCATTGTTTGCAAGCAGTTGCAGGATTTTCCAATTAGCCGATAATGAGTAATACTCAGTGAGGCTCACAGCTTTGGCGTGTAGATCCAGGCTATGCTACATACTGGAAGAATAATCCCTCTTTTGGTACTGCCCTAGTTACTGTCAGTCATAGAAGTCCATGAAGTCTTAGCAAGTACTGTGAACTATGTATCCAAGGACTAAGTCCTCCACCATGGAGAACTTAATCAGTGCATATATTCAGCACATAACATTTTTTTTTTCCCTGATTGGAAGGAAGGTTTTACTTTTAGGAGCCAAGTTATTGTCATAAGAAAAATCAAGGGATTCCAAAAGAGTTTCAGTGGGCCAGGAAGGGTTCTATTCTGGGTAGTTGGAACATCCATGTATTCCTGACATTCTATGCTTATATCTTCCATGCAAATGTTGTTTAATCAGAAGCATAGCAGGTGTATCTTCTCATTTCCATCAGGCATCCAGTGCTCTGGAGGAGCTTTGCTTCACAATTATGGGGACTCTACCAAGAACCCAGGTAAGGGTGAAATAGTGTTCTATTTGTAGGCCAAAAAAAAAATTGCTCAGTGGTATCTTGGAATTTCAACTAGAGGAAAATTTGCTCAATTTAAAAAGCAAGCCAAGAGGAGCCTGAGGAGGATAAGCTGATTTTTGGTAAGAAATAAATACTTCAGTTTCTCTGATGGCTTGAGAATTTAAGGTTATATCCATGGAGTTTACAGTCATCAATTGGAAAGTTGCATGTCCCCCTCAAGTATCTACTCCTGATGATAGAAATGTGGGTTCATCTGGGTCCTTTTCTCTCCCTGACTCACTACAATTGGAGAACAGATACATCTTTCTTTGTTAGAGAAAAAGACATGAAGAGTGCAAAAAAAAAAAAAAAAAAAGCGAACAATATCATCAATGTCAGTTTGAAAATTATATTCTTATTCTGATGCCTTGGTTTCTTATTAAAATCACTTGATTCTTTTGGAAGAACTTTTTGTTCTGAAGTGAGGATAGGTGGGAACTTGAAAAATAGCATAATGTTACTTTATAGTCTGTATCTTATAGATGTACTTATTTTAAAACTATCATATTAAGTGTAAGAGCCTCAAGTTTAGAATTATATTTTCATTAGCAATTCTAATTTAACCGTGACCATTGGTACATTCTGACTGTCATGCCCTTCACATACAACAACTCAAAGAAACCTTGGTTTTTTGAAACCATAAATGTTTTTGAAAGTAAGTGTTTATGACTGTGTTTTTTCCAGTGTTTTTAATGGTGATATTTTCCAAAACTTTTTCTTCTGATTAAAATAAAAGAAATGACAATGGTGTTTATCCATGAGTTTCCTTTTATATTAAAAGTAAGTGAGAACAAAAAAGAACAAAAACAACAAAAAGAATGATGTGGTTCATTGTAAAAAACAGATTTTTGGAGGGAGAGAGGAATATAGAAAGGTTTATAGAAGAAAAAGCAAAAGTAACTTATGATCTTATTATTTAGTGATAACAACTACAAATATTTTCATGTGATTCCTTCTAGCCTATTTTTCTGAACATCCTATAGGTAATCATATCATTCCCATGCCACCTCTGTTGAACTTGTAGGATGTTTCCATTTTTTTACGCATGAATAATACTGTAGTAAAGATCTAATACACTATTTATGAACATTCTTTAATTTCTCATTTATTTTTAGGGAAATATACTTAACCAATTTCAGTCTTGTATTTTACATGTAACATGTCATATGTTTTTAAAACTTTCATGATAATTTCTCATAAATTTTACATTCTTTATTGCCATAATATACATTATCATTTTATGTTATGCATAATGTAATGATAGTTATATGTCTTTTTTCAATAGGAAAAAGATGAAAAAGTTAATACCAAAAGGGTAAGGTGATTTCCATAAATATATACATTAAAAAATAATAAAGGAAACCACTAATCCTCTGTAGTAAAGCTCATTGCTTTTTTTTAACAGTTTTTATTTCATTATTCCAAGACACGGAAGTTGGGCAATTCAAATGTTGTGGTAAGTTGTAGGATTAATTCTTATGAGTAATCATGGGTATATTTTCCTAAACCTGCTTTTGCAGTTTATCTAATAGAACTAGATTAAAATTCCCTTTTTTTTTTACTTTAAAAGTATACACGCATGAACAAATAGCATTCAATATTTATTATACATTTAATTTATATCTCAATAACTACGTGCATATTAAATCATTCATTCATTCATTCAACAATTATTCACTGAGTATCTACTATGTGCTAATCACAATTCTAGGTACTAGAAATATAGCAGTAAATAAAATAGAAAATTAAAAAAGAAATCCCTGCTGTCATGGAACCTACATTCTAGAGGCAAATAAAACAAAGCAAAGACCCAAATAATTAAAACATATTGTTTTAGATGGTGATTAGTGCAAGTGAAAATAGTTTTATCCAAAGGCATTTTAACAATTATTTTAAAAGATGATTATCAAAAATAACATTAAATATAATGACAAATATCCACTTCTATTCCTAAGATCTCCTTATTTGAGATTAGGCATTCAGTGTGAGCATTTACTAAGATTAGCTAGATACCAATAAGTTGAATTCAGTTAATTTCTAAATTGTGTGATTTAGTGGTAGTTTTTCTTTTTATGCATGGATTTTAAAAATGCTAATGCACCTACTTTGGTGTTCCAATTAGAATAGTTAATAATTGACTATAATAGTCTTCCTAAGTGTGTAACTCACTTCTATGGACCAATTTAGAGAATGAGGAGCACAGCGTATTTTAAACATGTAGGTACCTGTGGAAAGAGAACTATAATCTTAAACTCAGTTTTAAAGTTTATCACATTGAATATTCTTACCTAACTTTAAAGTTAGGTTATACTGCCTTCAAAAAACAAGTACAAATTGAATCAGTTAAAAATGGTAATCCATTTGATTAGCGGCTTTAATATTTGTGAGAAGTTTCAATTCAAGCCATGCCTTTAGAATGCAACCAAAGCAGATAGCCACATGTCTCAAATGTGCTTTCATTTTCTTCTGCTTGGCATCTTTACATTTCGAGAAAATGTATCTTAGTCATATTTTTTGCTATCAAAAACATGTCATTTTTTTGTGTCCCCTGTTGTCTTGTTCCAATGTTGACTTTTAAATAAACTATATAATTTATACAGATTACTAGATGTGTGTACAGTATAATCTTCTAGAGAAATATTTTCATAATAAAAAACTGATTCTCCCAGAGGTGTTTCCATTTATCCCTAATCATTTTGAGTAAATCTGGAAGCAGACACTGCTTCTTGGCTGTCAAAGATGCAGAGGGGTGTTTTGCTTCCTAGCAGCTTATGATGGACTGACACCCTCAGGAAAGTGCCTCATCAACGTAATGGCAAAGATCCTAGCAGAGAGCCACCAAATTTTAGTCCATCTCTTGGCTTTCTCCACAGTTCTTTGAAATGCTCACAAAGGGCTGCCTTAGATAACATCTTTCTTGTTTTGTTTTGTCTGGAGCAAGTACAGTGGGTAAAACAAACAGATAGGAAATTGTCTTTATGCCCAATGCTGAGAAGCCTCTGTGCTCATCGTGTGTGTGTTCGTGTCTCTCAGTCGTCTGTTGTGCATCCGTTGCTGCAGCTCGTTCCTCAACTGCATGAGAGAAGAATGAAGAGATTCAAAGTGGACGTATGTAAACAAACTGCATGTTTGCATTGCCACTGTGCGTGGGGTAGCTCTTCTGTGAATTCTGAGCTGTGGTGTTTTTTAAGATGCTCTTTGCAGGATAAACCACACATAAACAGTCAGGTAGCCAAAGAGCAAGCTGTTTGCCAGAGTGTTTTCACATTCAGGAAGAAAAACATGTTTCCCTTCCCCTAGTGTGTTCCTTCTTTCTGAATCTATGAGCAGTGAGGAAGGCTGGGATTAGATTCCCTTCCCAGTGAGGAAACCTATTCTTGATTTAAGTATGGACACAGTCAGCGTGCCTAGGCTCTAGGTAGAAAAAGGAGAAAAAAGGCAATTCCCTGCCCTTTTGTGTACAGGTCGGCAAATGGCTGAGATAGTAATCTTTCTATCCCATTGTTAAAGTGTGAGTGAAAGTAACATTTTAGGCTCAAGAAATAAATATATCAGAAACTAATTGTGGCTGTCTTGTCCAAAATCAGTATCTATGTTTAAGATAAATATAGCTTTGTTAACCGCTTTTTAAACTAGAAATTGTGGAGCTTATATTGTTATTGTAAAAGAATGTTAACTCTTTCAATGATGAAAGTATCTAGGTATTATTTTTAAGTTATGCCTTAGATTGTTACAATGCGTTATAGTTTTCAGTCATTTTATTCTTTTGGCAAATGTTGGTGCTAACATGAGTATTGTTATCCTCAGTTTACTAATGGGAAAACAATTCAGAACAGATAAAGGTGTTTTCCAAGATCATTCTAGCAAGTGAGATTAGAAATTACAATAGATTCTTCTAACTTCTAGTCTTGGCAAATATTTTTTTCACTATACTATTTCTTTTATAGTCTAATCTTGGATACTTCTATTATTTTGTTGTTATATTTTCCCTTAATTTAAATGCCATCTTAATTATATTCTTCTTTATGTACTACCAAAAGTCATCATATACTTTTTAAAATGCATAGTTTAAGGGAAAAAATTCCTCAAAATTTATTTTTTCTGGTCATTATTTCCTCCCTAAATTCTTCACATTCTTAAACTAACCTTCTAAGGAGGTTAGTATCTGCTGCCATCTTGAATGAGAAATATAAGTGAAATTGTAGTAGCCCCTTAAAATTATAGAACTTCCAGTTTGAAAAGAATCAAATCAGTTATTATCAAGCTTTCTAGAAGTAATATATACTTTTCTGAATTAAATTCTACTCTCTGAAGTTTGCTTGACTTATGAATAGTGTAAAATTTCCATTTAAACATTCAGTTTCTTAAAATAAATAAAAAAAATCATGAGTTTACTGTATCACTTCATACTATATTTCCAGACAACTAGCTAAAAATAAAAACTGTGACTTGGTAGTATGTTCTGTTGGATAAATGATAACTCCTATATTGCTGCAAGACAAGTTTCCTAGGAACCTATGAAAGGAAGGAACATAAGCCATGAATAGAGAAAAAAAAATTACAGTACTGTTAGCTTTGCTGAGCCTAAGTCACCTAAGTTTAAAACATATTTTTGATAGTGAAGTATTTTGGGTTCTTAAAGAAAATGAATTTTCAGACCCTAGTGCGTTCCAACACTTTTCTTAAGTTTTTTTTGCTAGGCATCCTCACTTCCATCCCCACAAATTCTCTTTATATACTGTTCTCTGTCCAGTGGTAAGGCTAAAACAACCTGTATATTTAGATATGAAAGTTTTTAAATGTAGCATGTTTTAAGCTACATTTTGTCCTATTTTTCCTTTTTTAATATAATCATATAAATATATAGTTTCTATTATATACATTTATAAATATGAAAAATTGCAATCTTTCAAGTAATTTGAATAGATTTATAGTTAGGATGAGAATTAGGTGTAAAATATTGAAAATTTAAGATATATTTACTGTAAAGCAGGGATTTCAGAATTTGGATAGATGTCAGAGCTACTTCTTAGAATTTTAAAATATTATTTTAATTACATTATGGAATAATTGGAAAAGGTCTTGTTGAAAAATTCTATAATGATTGTCTTCCTGATGCTTTTATAGTAAGTAGTAGATGAAGATAGGAAACTTTTGATATAAGAACCAATTTTATGGAAACCATAAAATGTTAAATATTTTCCCATTAAGTTTAAAATGAAATGTTTTGAGAAAAGAAATACTCACAATATACCCATTATGAATAATTTGTTTATTCCTATTTGTGACTTCTTTTATTACCATTTCTATAAATATAATTATATTGGGAAAATCTCTTCTGAAGTCTCATTGAATAAACATAGCTTACCAAAGTTGTCCTCAATTTCTATTTAAATTCCTATAGAAACAGTGTGTATTTTAGCTCTGACACAATTCTATTTTATATTTTTCCTGTTGTTGTGTTAGCACATACAATATGAATTTAAAAGAAATTATTTTTTTCTAACAAAATGCTAAAAGTTTTAAATATAGTTAATTATGAAGTTATTGTCATTTGTCTTTCTACTTATTGATGAATATACATTGTGACAAATTTCCTACAAATAGAATCTTTATATAAATAAGGAAATAACTTTAAAATACAACATTCTGGTGATACTGCTAGTTGCTGGGAGTTCTTCAGGTAAAAATACAAAGATTAGCTATTGTTATCAATTATATAGTCCTTGAAGCCTTCTTTGTTTAATTGTGATAGTTGGAAGTAACTTTGAGCTTCATTCTCAAGAAGAATTTGAACTTATTATTACTGTTATTTGATTTTTAATGTCCTTATTTTCTCTTCTAGGAAGAATTCCAAGGTCCTATTGCAAATCAAATTCAAAGATACTTTTTATTCAGGGTATGTGCATACTGTATTTTAAAAAAGTCAATTCATATCAAAATAGGAAAATACTTTGTGCATTTATTTACATTAACTCATAAGTTTTGAGTTTTGAAGTTTATAGACAATTGATATCAAGTGTCATAGTCTGAGATTCACTTCTGTCACCAGCTTATTGCTTTAATATTATCGTGTCTATAATCTCTTTAATCTACTACTTGTGTTGGTAAATGCTCCATGTGACATTCAGTTATTTGCAACTTAGTTCCATAAAATTTCACATGTAGGAAATGAGTGTCTTAAAGATGTATTACTCCTTAAGTTCCAAGGACTCATTTACTAAATGTTTTATTCAGTAGATTAAAAGCTATGATTAAAAAGAAAAGAGAGAGATATGATACTCTTCACAAGTTTTTAAAAGTAAAAGAATTAACTACAATGGAGGCTAGAAGTAGACAAAACTTTGTCATTGTATTTAGTATTTTGTATGTCCAAATTGTCAATGAAATGTGAGTTACTTTCTAAGCAGCAATACTTTCTAAAATGTTTGTATCCCTAAAACATTATCAGAAGTTTTTCATTCATTCATTCAGCAACTACTTATTGAATTTTTACTGGGTGCTGAAAAACCTATCAAAGGCTAGGAATATAAAACCAGATAGGATTCTATTCTTATGTTCTAGGAGTTTACATCCTAATACAAGATATTGATAAATATAAATAAATGAATAAATAATGCTATGTTGAATGCACCTTCAATCCAGGGACTATGGTTTCTAAAAGAAAGACTGGGGAGTGGAGGAGGTAAAGAGAGGCTTTAAGAGCTGAGTTTGAAGAATCAACAGAAATTAGGTAATGAAATATTTAACTAAGGAATTTCAACTTTATTGTGGAGGTAATGAGACCTATATGATAAGAATTGCATTTTGGAAAGTAATTCTAAAAATGAATTGGAGAATGAATCAAAGGAGCAAGACTACATAGAAGAAGAAATAATACCATGCATCAAGATCATTATTAGGCTGCTTTCTATGTCATTTAATTTTCTTCCTTAGTTTTGGTGTTTTATTATTAATTTTTTTTCTAGCCACGCAATGGGAGATCAGAAAGTTACATTTGAAATGGTATGTATTTCACAATTCAACCCAGTTTGAAATATTCTATTGTTTTCATATATTCACAAATTAAACTATGCTCAATATATTTCTATTTCTTTGACTGCATGTATACATTAATATTCTATACAAATATGATAATTATAGCAGCTTTGGGGGCTATAGGATTGGAAATGCCAGTATTCGGGGGCCAGAGTTATCCATGCTCTATATTCCTCAGGCTATGCCACAATAGTCATCATCATGAATTTTGTAGACATTGACTTCACCATCATTTTTGTGCAAGTACATGTAAGGGATCGTGTTCTTATTGTGTTAATCAGTGTCCACAGGAATGTGTCAGAACTTACAGAATGAATGTATTTCTGTCTTCTGAATGATTCATTTTCAAAGATTCTTTATAAAAGCTGTGATTTGCCATTTCTAGAGAGTAAGATGTGAAAGATACAAAAGCGTCACTTCTACTATGGGACTCCCAGTTCCCACTTCAATGCAGACATATAATAACACTTAGTGGCTATTTAATGGCCCTACATGTTTAATAAATATGTTAATTCTATTATCTTATTATGCTAAGAATTTTGAAATTAATCCCAGATACAGGTCAATAAATTTATAACACATAAATAAAAGTATATTCTACTTTATGTAATCCTAATTGCAGATTCTATGCTGGAACATACAGAGTCTAGCACAAATGAAGCCCCTTGTTTATTACACAAAAATCTTTTATTACAAAATCATAAGCATGTACTTCTGTAACATAACAATATCATGCTCAAGCACAGCATATGGCATTTTAGGTGAAATGTTCAAATTGCTGTCCATCTTCTGAGAGACATTCACGTATCCTGACAACCACACTCAATGGTGTTACTTCTGCTAGACCCTATATATTTTTGCAGATTTTTCATTCATATCACTTATTTCAACACTTAGTACATATTTAGTTTCAGAATGCTAAAATTCTTAATATTTTCTAAAGAAAACCCAAAATCATAATTCAAAGATGATATCAACCCAAAATTATACAATATCTAGAAAATAAAGATAATGAAAACAATATTAGAACTTGTGTGGTTCAGCAAAAGCCATCCTCAGTGGAAAATTCAAGACTATAAATACTTTCCAGCAAGAAAGAATGAATGAAGTAAGTATTTAATCCAATAAGTTAAAAAAGAACAAGGTGAACCTTAAGAGAGCAAAAGAAATAAAAGTATAAAATGAAAGATAAACTTAATAAATTATAAAATAGTAAAGTAGAAGACATGGTAAATAAAGCAAATTATCTTTTTATTTGCAAAAAATAAAAAAAAAGTCTAATTAGCCTACCCTAATTAAGAAAATAGGAGAAACCATAAATACACAAAAATATAAATGAAAAGAGAAAAATTACAACACATGTGGAAGAAATGGCTATTATAAGAGTATTTTGCAAATCTATGTGCCTATCTACTTAGAAACATATAAAATAGAAAATAGTCTAGTAGAGTAGCTGCTACCAAAATTTACCTCAGAAGAAAGAGCAAAAATCTAAATAGACTTATGGCCATGGAAAAAAATGGAAAATATTATCCAGAAACTTTCCCCTAAAAAATCCTTGGCCAACAGATTTTGAAATTTTTCAGACTAGATAAAGAAGAAAAATTTCAAAATATTTTTTAATGAATCCAGCCATATTTTTTAATGAGCTAATACCCAAATCTTACAGAAGTAGTATAAAAAAGGAAACTGAAAATCAAAACTATTTATAAATTTTAATGCAAAAATGTCAAAGAAATATTACTAAACAGTGTTCAGCAGTATATTTACAGAATTCCATAATCCCATGAGTGAAGTTTGTTCCAGCAACTCACGATGGTTCAACATTGGGGAGTATTAAAGTATTTTCATCTTTAGAAGAAAAATTATATAATTGCCAATAGATGCTTTTGGTAATATTCCACATCAATTTTGAGTGTTTTAAAAGAAAAAAGAGATGAATTTTCTCTTTACATTATTTATATAATGGTTTCAAAGTCAGTACAGGTTTGATAGTAAAAACAATCTGGAGCATTTTATTATTTTTTAATTTAATCTTTATTGTATTTTTTTCCATTACCATTTAGTCCTCTCGTACTGTCTCCCCCCAGCACTCACCCCGCTGCTGTCCAGGTCCAGGCGCCCTTTCTCCTTTCTGCTCAGCCCCTCCTCTCCCGAACGTCCCCCACCCGGCTGGCTGTCGTCCTGCTCTCCATCTCTGAGCCAGTCCCCACTTTGAGTGAGTGTCAGGAACGAAGCAAAGCTGCTCTGTCAGCTTTTATTTAATGTGGTTCTTACACATTAGCCCATTGATTTGGACAAAAAAGAAGTATGCAGACAATCCAGTAGAAAACGGAGAAAAATACATAAACAGGTTCTTTTTAATGAGGATATTTGAAATGTCAACAAACATTAATAAAGGTGTTCAACTTCATTAGTCATCAGGAAAAATGCAAATTTAAAAACTGGCGTGGCATCATTACATACCCCCCAATATGGCTAAAGTAAAAACACCTAGTAATGTGAATTGCTGTAAAGAATGTGAAGCAACTGGAATGCTTATATGCTGCTGACATGATTATATAAAACTCAAAAACAGGCAAAACCTACTTCTAATGTTAGAAATCGGATAGGATTGACTTCGAAGAGAAGATGGTGGGGTAAAGACTGGGAAAGAACTCAGGCGGGCAGTGTGGGAGCCCTGGGGGTGCAGTTCTAATCCTGGCATAATATGGTATTTCTTGATCTACATGGTGATTGTATAACTGTGTTCACTTTGTGATAATCCATTAAGTTGTACACTTAAGACTTGTGTATATCCCTATGTATATACTTGAATTATTAAAAGTTTATTTACATTGAAAAAAAAAGAAGTAAAAGTTACAAATATGAGAAAAGTAGAGAAAGAATTTAACATCCTCATGGGGCATAGTTAGGAACTTAAATATTCTAACTTCTTCTGGCATTAAATTCTGTTTCAACAAAGCCTGTTATGTTCATATCAGAAATATGAGCCAACATAGTCTTAATATTTTCTTTTTTCAAGGAACTAAGAACAAAGAGTTAATTGGAACAAAACTATCTTTCATAATTTTACAAATGTAGAGGCATTTACATAATGTAAAAAATAGTTTAATACTAAATGGAAAGAAAGATCTGTGATTGTAACATCAAAGTAAGTATTAGAGTGCTCATAAATGTGAAATAGAATAATCTATAATTTGATCAATTTAGTAAAAAGTTCTCTCTAAAGATGAGAAAATAGTTTTATTTGGATTATTTCCAAAATTAAGGTCTACATAGACTAATTCACTCGGGATTTCATTTTATTTTTGTCAATAAAAAAACAGTTCAATAATTACTTTTTCTGTTTTTCTCATCTGATTATCTGAGGTCTTACTTTGTCCTGATGACTTATATTCACTTATAAATTATTATATGTAATAGAATGATTTAATTGTAAATACTTAAGGAAATAAATATTACATGAGGAGTAACTATGCAAGTTTTAAAAAATTTCACTTATAAGTTCTGATGATATCAATGTACTTTAGAAATCACTTTTATATAGTTAAATATTGTAAAATTTTGGAAGATATAGACATAACAGAGTAAATATTCCATCAAAGAGAGGTTAAATAATAGCTAAAAATATACACACTGAGAAGTGAGAAATACCTCAGATTTCAGTTTTATGATATATGACAAAATATTCATAGAAACATCTATATACAAAGATTACAGGGTCCAGCACAAATAACGCCCCCTTTTTATTACAAAATCATAAGTATGTAAATCTGTAACATAACAATATCACATTCAAGCGCACATACGACATTTTAGGTGAAACGTTCAAATTCAAACTATAAATTATTACACCCGAATTATTATCCTACCAACCACACTCAAACAGGCATTACTTCTGCTGGACCCTGTATATACACATTCACATACTCATTTGTACTTGAATATAAATTCAATTTTTTCTCTTTTTACAGAATACCAGCTATTTTCCACAGAAGCAATGCCATGAAATACAAAATACACTGATATTTTGTTTTTTTCTCAAAAACAATCCTTGCTAAGTTTAATATGTTTGAGTATTTCTGTGTTGTGAACATTCTCAATAAAAGTCGGTTGAGACTGTAAATGTTTAACTTGTTAGAAATTAAAAAAGCATCTTAAAATATTTTTCTTAGTGTTGTAATGATAGTGTATAATAAAGCTGTAAATAATAATTTTTCTTAGCTCTCTGCAGCTTTTTACAGTACATGCTCTTTTGTTATTTTTATTAAAGGCACTCAGTAGAAAATTGAGGGATTTTTTTTGTTTTTGTTTTTTTTAAGATTTTGTTTATTTTTAAGGAGGAGAAGGGAGGGAGAAAGAGAGGGAGAGAAACATTGATGTGTGGTTGCCTCTCGAGCATCCCCTACTGGGGACCTGGCCTGAAACCCAGGCATGTGCCCTGACTGGGAGTTGAACTAGGGACCCTTTGGTTCACAGGCCTGCATTCAATCCACTGAGCCACACCAGCAAGGGTGAGAACTGAGTTTTAATGAGCTATTTTAGTTTATCCTATTTGGATTTTGTCAGTGACAAAATCACCAGCTCTTATAGAGACCAAAATTCCCAATAGCTCACAATTTTAGAATGTGAATACCAAATAAACCTGCTGAAGGAATACCAAATAAACCTGCTGAAGGAATACCAACTAAACCTATTAGGGTATTTGGCCATGGTCCATCCAATAGTCCAATAAGCAAACTCTGATTTATATCCTGTAAAAATTAATGTCTGATTGCTACAAACATATCAAGGTATTACCTTTTCCTACCAACCAGTAGTATTCACTTTATCTTAAAATAAGTTGTTTTACCTTGCAACATCTGGAAGGCAACCAGTCTTGTCCTTTACTAAAAAGAACATAGTCTCAGAGGATCATGAATACACTGGAATAACTTTTTACATCAAATCAGTGTTGTGTAGACACAGAATTAACTTCAAATGGATGTTAGTTTATCTCCCTTCAGGTTCCCTTGGGTTTTTCCTTTCTGGCAGCCCCAGTCTTGCATAACCACCCTACTCCACCAAGCAGGTTGCTGGCTGATTACAGAGGAGTGGCTCTCTGAGTGGGTAGGACTAAAATTATATTCTTCACAGTAGAGTATTTGACAAATCTTTGTCTTGTAATGTTGATCGCTGATTATAGCTTAAATTATGCCTATACTAATAAAGACCCTGAATTTCACCACTTCCCAATCTGTGAAAAACATAGAAAAAGAACAGAGCAGAATGGGACAAAAAGTCTTTGGAAACTGAGTTGCTGTGACAAGATGGGGACTTAAAAGCTGAGAGGGTCTCCTGCTCTAAGGCACAGATGCATAGGGTAACATTAGGTAGCGCTATGCACAGTAATCAACTAGCGTGAATTTTGGATATTCAAAATAAGAAAATGGAGTGGAATACTGATTGAAACAGCAGTTCCGGAGCCTCTCAGAATGCAAGAGACTTAGGCCATTTACATGTTTGGGAGCTCACATGATATTAAAATGAGAAATATCAAAACATGGTTACAAGAATGTTGGACGTTTCAGAATATTTTATATTTAACATGGTATCTTACACACAAACATAAGAAAACATATAGGCTACTGGGAGTATAGGCTTTGTATTAACTGAAAACTACAGATGGAGTGGTCCAGTGCTGAACCCAAGTTCAATACTATGTCCCTAAAAATCTTCTTTTTTTTCTCCAAATCCTATTAGTATATCTCTGTGACCGTGTGTATATAAGCTTCTTTGGCAATGACATCAAGTGTTTACCCTGTGATCCTGGCAGCTCCTAGTAAACATTTCCTTAACCTAAACACCAAGGAACCCCCCATCCAGATTTCCTACCTAAAGCCAGAGCTCCTGTTTCCTAACGCAGTGCATTTTAAAGATGTAGGTGGAGTGCCATTTGAGAATCTGATGAAAGGTCAGATCCTTCACTCTTCCCCCAAATTGTACACATACAACAAAAATTATGTGTTCATTTGGGATCTGGGGGTTAGGTAGGTATCCCCTAAAATACATCCAAATACAGGCTATGGGTTCCTAGTTAAGAACTTCTCTGACCGGTTCTCTCTCTCCCCAGGACTTTGTTGTTACTCCCTGAAGTTAGCTTCTAGGGATTGAAGGGTGTCAGAGGGCTAGGAAGCAACGCATTGATTTGGTCGCTGTGTAGGGAAGGGTGGGAGGAACGGAAACATCAGTACCACTTGGCGAACACGAAAGGCAACACTCGGGATAAAATACCCCAGGACCTAGTGCGTCAGAACCCGCATCCACCCCAGGGCCTCACCTCCGTGTTGCCCGGCAACACGGCCGCGCTGGACGTGCGTGCGTGAATGTGCGTAAGAGATCCTTGTTCTACCCTTCCCTCCGGGTGGTGGCGGAAACCGCTGTCTTTGCTGGGGTCTCTCTTTACGGCTTGCGGGCACGCGAGTCACGAGTCCTTCGGCAAAGGGTCAATCGCACCGTTGCTGGAAAGCCGAGGGTGAACGTCATGCAGGTCGGAGTCCCAGGCCACAGGCCAGCAGGGTCCCCGACTGAGCCCGAGGCTGAGTGGCAATGGGGAGGGCAGCCCACAGGGATTGGGTTTTCACATTTATTTTTGGTAAGAGCAAAATTTTGCGTGCATCTCAAGATGGAAGAGAAGTCCAAATAAACTCTAAGAGAACGCCATTCCCTGCCTCCCCACCCGCCCCCGCCCCCGCTCCCCCCCTCCCCCGCCCCAAGGTTTGTCGCTGGAGGCTAGTTGTTTGGGATTGTGTTTCACGTCTCAGTCTTGGAAGCCTTATGGTCGCACTACTTCTGACTTAAGAAATAGACCAGCAACTTAAACCCAAGTGTAATTCAATTTAAATAATCCTGCCCCACACCTTAAAAACAGTCAGAATGAAAACCCTAGTAGTTGGCATCTCTCTTGAGAAAGACCAGCTGTCCGTAAAATTTCTCCTACCTGATCGCAAAAGCTCTGTTAGACTTCCATTTATTTTCTAGAAGGCTGGACCTCTGTCTAAAATGCCTGTGCTTTTGTTTCTTTATCAGAGTAAAACTCTCACTTTCTGACTTAGAGAAACAGTTTCTTCCTACCTGCTTCCCCAAAGTAAAACCGTGATTTTTCTTGTTTTACATATTTAATTTTGGTACCCATTTATACTATATAATTTATTAGGATTTTTTAAACATAAACTACCTATAATTTTAATGGATAGTTCTTTTGTGTTAATCATACATTCATAGCTAGTACATTTTATCCAGTGTATGCAGATGTTTCTATACATTAGTGAATAGTCTGAAAGGAAATTAAGAAAACAATTCCATGTATGATCATATCAAAAAAGAATAAAATACTTAGGAGTAAATATAACCAAGGAGGCAAAAGACTTGTACACTGAATGCTACAAAACATTGCTGAAAGAAATTAAGGAAGACATAAATAAGGAGAAAAACGTCACACCTTTGTGACTGGAAGACTTAATATTGTTAAGATGTCAGTACGTGCCAAAACGATCTACAAATTCAAAGTAATGCCTATCAAAATCCCAATGATATTTTTTGTAAAAATAGAAAAACCTTTCCTAAAATTCATGTGAAATGTTAGGAGATCCAAAATAGCCAAAACACTGTTCAAAAAATGAACAAAGATAGAAGGCACACACTTTCTGATTTTGAAATATACTATAAACAAAGTAATCAAAACAGTGTGGTACTGGCAGGAAGACATACAGATCAATGGGATAGAATAGAAAACTCAGAGAGAGACCCTCCCATATGCAGTCAAATGATTTTCAATAAGGGTGTCAAGACCATTTAGGTGAAACGGTACTATCCTTGACAAATGGTGTCGGGAAAATGATATCCACATGCAGAAGAATGAAGTTGGACCCCTAACTCACATTATAAATAAACATTAACTGAAAAAAGGATCAAAAGACCTGGAAGTGAGAACTAAAACTATAAGACTCTTAGAAGAAAATATATAGAGAAATTGCCATGACATTGGGTTGGCAATGGTTTTTTGGATATGACACCAAAAAGACAGGCAACAAAAGAGAAAAATAGGTAAATCGAACATCAAAATTTAAACTTTTATGCATGAAAAGACACTATTGGTACAATTAAAATGCAAACCACAAAATGGGAGGAAATGTTTTTAAAATATATATTTTATTAAAAAAATAATATCCAGAATACATAAAGAACTCCTAAAATTCAACACCAAAAATATAAACCAATTAAAAATAAGCTTATAGAAAAGGCTCCACATCTATGTCATCAGGGAAGTGCAAATTAAAGCAATAAGAGACCATTACACACATATAAAATGGCCACTGACAATACCAACTGCTAGTGAGAATGTAGAAGCAATTGGAACGAACTCTCATTCTTTGTTGGTGGGAATGCAAAATGGTACAGTGTTTGGAAGACTTACCATATCTTACCATTTGATCCAGCAATCACATTCCTTGTTATTTACCCAAAGGAGCTGAAAACTTAATATGTACACAAAATGTGCACACAGATGTTTATAGCAGCTTTACTCCTCATTGCCAAAATTTAGAGGCCATGATTATAATGTCCTTCAATAGGTAAGTGGGTAAATAAACTGTAGTACATCCAGATAATGGAATACTGTTCAGCACTAAAAAGAAATGACTGAGCCATGAAAAGACATGAAGGAAACAAATGCATATTACTAAGTGAGAGAAGCCAATCCGAGAAAGGTCATACTGGATGATCCCAACTATATGCTGTTCTTGAAAAGGCAGAACTATGGAGAGTAATCAAAAGGTCAGTGGTTGCTAGAGATTAGGAGGAGAAGGGATGAATAAATGAAGCACAGAAGATTTTTAGGGCACTGTAAGCACTCTTACTATATCACACATGGATAAATGTCATCGATCAGCATTTTTGTCCAAACCATGGAATGTACACCAAGAGTAAAGCAGAATGTACAATATGAACTTTGGGTGATTATGATGTGTCAGTGTAGGTTCATCAATTGTAACAAATACGTCATTCTTGTAGAGGATGTTGATAATGGGGAAGGCAGTGCGTATGTGGGGGCAGGAGGCAGATTGGAAGTCTCTCTATCCTTCCCTCAATTTTGCTGTGAACCTAAAACTGGCCTAAAAGATTGTCTTAATTTAAAAATAAAATATAAAAAAAGTGGGCAAAGAACTTGAATAGATACCTCTCCAAAAAAGGTATACAATGGCCAACATACACATAAAAAGATGCTTAGTATCATTAATCATTAGAGAAATGTAAAAACCATCTTAATTGCTGGTTCAACTCCCAGTCAGGGCACATACCTGGGTTGCAGGCCAGGTCCCTAGTTGCGGGTGTGTGAGAGGCAACTGATCAATGTGTCTCTCACACATTGATGTTTCTGTACCTCTCTTTCTCTCTCTTTCCCCTTCTGTCTAAAAAGTAAATGAATAAAATCTTTTTAAAAATTTTAAAATGACAACTGTTGGTAAAAATATGGAGTAATAGGAACCCTTGTGCTTTGCTGGCAGGATTGTAAAGTGGTCCAAATGGTATGGACAAGATTAGGTAGTTCCTTTAAAAATTGTATGTAGAATTATTATGTGATCCAGAAATTCTACTCCTAGGTGTGTTGTCATAAGAATTGAAAGGAGGCTCTCAGACATATTTGGACACATATGTTCATAGCAACATAATTCACATTGGCCAGAAGGCAGAAACAACCGAAATGTCCATCATTGGATGAACAGATAAACAAACTATAGTGTGAAGATACAATGAACTATTATTCAGCCTTAAAACAGAAGGAAAATCTGATATGTGCTTCAACATGGACAATCTTTGAAAACATTACGTAAAGTGAAATAAGCTAGTCACAAAATAACTTTTGGGTCAATGATGGATTGTGTAAATGATGGTGGTCCCAGAAGATTATAGTGGAGCTGAATTCCCTCTAAGAAAATGGAAAGATATGTGGTTCAGGAAGAATATTTTTTTTTCTCTGATGGGAACAGTATCTGGGAGCTTGGTCATAGATTGCCTCTCACAGCAGCCCAATTTTGAGTGCACAAGTTACATCCCAATCAGCAGCTCCTGACCTGTTTCAGCACAGAAGAGCCTATCCCTCTCTAGGGCTACATATTCAGAGGGTGCTACAGTCCTCTCAGATGTAGCCTGATGGTCTTCAGAGTACACTGCTATAGATTCTTTGTTGAGGAACTAAAATCCTGTACAAGGACGCAAGTCCATAGAGCCACTGTAAGTATTAAGTGCTATTGCCACTTTAGTAAAAGCTTTCTATGGTGGAGCCAGCCTGTTCCTATATTTTGGAAGTATTTTCAGGTTTTACTGATGTAAGGCATAATTTTGTTTCTTTATCAATTCAATGCCAGCAAGAGCCCTTTTTACCAGATAGGGTAAAAAATAAATTTCCAAAGTCAAGCTATTGAGTCCTCAGTTCTACACCCTTTCCATGTTTAAATATCATCTATTTTTTAAAATAAATACCACGAAGTTCACTAATCTGACTACTACTCCAACATGCTATAGCCACAACCACATTGCCATGACAACCTCCAATGTTCCCTTATCTCGCCATCTTGATTTCTTATGTCTACTGTTCCTCAAGTCACCATTCATTTCCTCCTGACAGTCACTATTATGGTAATCTATACCTTACCCAGCCAGTTCCTCCTCAATATTTCCAATCAGTCCAGTTCACATTCCTGTTCATTGAGCAGCACTGACAGCTTCAGTGTTCTGTTTCTGATCCTGCTGGAAGGAAGCAGGGGACGGGCTTGTGGGACAATGTTTGTAAAATCTACAGTAGTGTTCAGCAGTGTCCTAGGCCTTCCATTCACCATTCACTCACTGACTCACCCAGAGCAATTTCTAGTCCTGCTAGCTCCATTCATAGTTAAGTTCCTTATACAGTTGTACCGCTTTTTAATATTTAAACCATATTTTTACTGTACTTTTCTATGTTTACATACCCAAATACTTACCATTGTGTTATAATTGCCTAAAGTATTCAGTATAGTAATATGCTCTATAGGTTAGTGGCCTAGGAGCAATTGACTATACTTACAGTCTAGACATGTAGTAGGCTAGACTATCTAAAGTTGTGTAAGTGCATTCTATGATGTTTGGACAACAGTGAGTTGCCTGACACATTTCTCAGAATGTATCCTTATTGTTAACAACATATGACTATATACTAGGCATATTTTATGTAAAATAGTACAATATTAAGTTTAGGTAGACTGTAATAAAAGATACCCATTATAACTTTTAGAACAAGTATTAAAACAATAATGTGAAGATATATACCTAAATAATTGCAAAATATGGAACCCTCAAAAAATATTTAATTAGGCAAAAGAAGGCAAGAAAGGAACAGAGGAACAAAAAAGTAAATGAGACTAATAAAAAAGAACAGAAAATAGTAGCTCTATATCCAGTATTAACAATTATGTTAAATGTAAATCGACTAAACACTTTAATTAAAAAGTAGAGATTTTTGTCAGAATAGACGACAAAGCAAGATACAACTATAAACAATTGCTAAAAGACACACTTTAAATGCAAACACGGGTTAAAAATAAGATAATCTTATTTTTTTAAAAAAAACTATTTAAAAAAGTATTTAGGAATAAGGTAGAGGAAAACTATATTAGTAAACAAAAAGACATCAAAATGAGGATTACTAGTAGAAATAAAAATAAATATAATAATAGGAGAAATTCACCAGGAAAAAAAATCACAAAACTGTGTGTTTGGATAATAATGAAGCTTCAAACACATAAAGCAAAAACTAACAGAATTTAAGGAAGAAATAGGCAAACTCAAAATCATGATTTGAGATTTTAATATCCTTCTAGAAACTGATAGAATAATAAGATATAAAATTGCTAACAAAATAGAAGATATGAACAATTCTGTCAACCATTCACTGATTTATAGAGAAATACATCCATGAGTGGCAGAATACACCTTCTTTTCAGGCATTCACTAAGATACACCATATGCTGGGTCACGAAACAAGCCAATATGTTTAAAAATATTTAAATCTTACCAAAGTATATTTTCTGGCAAGAAGAATTAAATTAGAAAAGCCCAAATTATTTGAAAATTGACCAGTATCCTTCCAAATAATAAAAATGTCAGTTAAAAAAAAATCACAAGTGAGATTATGAACATTTTAATTGAATGATAAAAAATGCAACATACTAGAATGTGTAGGGTGTAGCTAAAGAATTTTTTAAAGGGAAATTTATAGCTTTAAGGGGTTATATTAGAAAAGAAAGGTTTATAGTCAATGATCTAACCTTCCACTGTAAAGAGGAAAAACGATGAGCAAAATGCAATAGAGAGGAACCTCTTGTAAATATTTCTTTACCTGCCAAGAGTCCATACTACAAGTCCATAGTAATCAAAAGAGCATGGTACTGGCATAAACACAGATATATAAATCCATGGAACAGAATAGAGAGCCCAGTAATAAACCCATACTTTTATAGTCAATATTCAACAGAGGAAGCAAGCACATACAATGGGCTAAAGAGAGTCTATTCAATAAATGGTGTTGGCAACATTGGACAGATATGTGCAGAAAAATGAAATGACCACCTTCTTACACCACACACAAGAATTAATACAAAATGGATCAAAGACTTAAATGTTAGACCTGAAACCATAAAAATCCTGGAAGAAAACATAGGCAGCAAAATCTTGGCCATTGCTCATAGCAATATTTTATCAGATATCTCTTCCCAGGCAAGGGAAACAAAAGAAAAAATAAACAAATGAGACTATATCAAACTAAAAAGTTTTGTACAGTAAAGGAAATCATCAACAAACTAAAAAGACAACCCACAGAATGGGAGAACATATTCACTGATATGTCTGATAAGGGGTATATATCCAAAATTTATCAAGTATTTACAAAACTGAATACCAAAAAACAATCCAATTAAAAATGAGCAAAGGAACCTGAATAGACACTTCTCCAAAGAGAACATACAGATGGCCAATAGACATATGAAAAGATGGTCAATGTCACTAATCATCAGAGAAATGCAAATTAAAACCACAATGAGATACCATTTCACACCGGTCAGAATGGCAATCATCAACAAATCAACAAATAAGTGCTGGGAGGATGTGGAGAAATGGAAACCCTTTTGCACTGTTGGTGGGAATGCAGCCACTGTGGAAAGCAGTATGGAAATACTTCAAAAAATTAAAAATGAAACTGCTTTTTGACCCAGCAATCCCCCTTCTGGCAATATATCCGAAGGAACCTGAAACAGTAATTTGAAAGAACGTAAGTACCCCTATGTTCCTTGCAGCATTTATAATCACCAAACTATGAAAGCAGCCCAAGTGTCCATCAATAGATGAGTGGATAAAACAGCTATGGGACATTTATACAATGAAATACTACTTGGCTATATAAAAGAAGAAAATTTTACTCTTTGAGACAGTATGAATGCACCTGGAAAATATTATGCTAAGTGAAATAAGCCAGCCAGAGAAAGACCAATGCCATATGATTTCACTGATATGTGGAATCTAATGAACAAACTGAACTAACAAGGAAAATGGGGACAGACTCATCGATGGAGAGCAGGATAACAGCTAGTTGGGGGGCAGGTAAAGGGGTGGAAAGACTGAGCAAAAAGGAGAAAGGCCTCAAGGACATGAACAGCAGTGTGGTGATTGCGGAGGGGGGACGTGTAAGGGGACTAAAGGGTAACAAAAAATACAATAAAGATTAAAAAATAAAGCAAATTTTGATTGAGACGAAATACATAGTTACAAAATTTGTATTATTAAAGTATTGATATTGGCTCATAAAAAATAGTTCCCATGTTTTATTTCTAACTTTGGTTATTTGTGCCTTCTTGCTTTTTCAAATCAGTGTTGGCAAGTATTTACCAATTTCATTAGTCTTCTCTAAGAACCAGTTTTTAGCCTTTTAGGTCTTCTCTATTATATATTCATTTTTTTTCATTTCATCAGTTTCTATTTTCACCTTTATTATTCCTTGCCTCTTCCTTGGACTAATTTTGATGTTGTTTTTCCAACTTTATACATAGGAAGCTTATAATTTAATTTTGAAGTCTTTTTCATTTTGTAGTATGTTAAATTAAGGGTATAAAATTCCTTTTATGAACTTTTTAATTGCAGCTCACATATGTTTGCTATCTGGCTTTACTGATGTCATTCAATTCCTAATGTTTTAAAATTTCCCTTGTGGTTTCTTCTTTGACCCATGGGTTGTTTAGAATTCTTTTCCCCCTAAAATTACAGATATATGATGATGATCTCCTAGTCACTTTTTTAAAAACTGATTTCTGCTTTTTGTCACTGTGCTAATATTTGTGGACCTTTATTCAATTTCTTAGCCTCGTCCAGGTAGATATTGTTTTATAACAAATTATCACAAACTAAGCAGCTTATAACATGGTTTCTATCATTTATTATCTCAGAATTTTTATGGGTCAAGGATCCAGGCATTAATTTGCTGAGCCCTCTGCTTATTAGTCTCCTACAAAGTTGCAATCGAAGTATCAGCTCTGGCTCATTTGAAGTTACAGAGGAAGAATCCCATTGCTAAGTTCCCTTACATAGTAGTTGGGTCTTTTTGACTGAGGACCTCAGTTTCTAGATAATTGTTGGCTACATTTTCCTAGTCACATAGTTCTTTCCATAGGACAACTCACAATATGACAATTTGTTTCATCAAAGTCAGCATGTGTGAGAGAGAGAGTGCTGGCAAGGTAGAAGTTGCAATCTATGGAATTCAATCACAGAAATGGCATTCTCACTTTTGCCATATTCTGCTGGTTAACAGCATGTCCTATTTCTCACCCGTGGTTAAGGAGAGGGGATTATTCAGGGATGTGAATACCAGAAAGTGGAGCTCAGTCAAGGCCATTCTTATAGTTTATTTGCCACAGTATTCATTCCTTTCTTCTGGAAATATCAGGAAAAAAATGAACAGCAAACTGGAGAAAGAATAGTTAACATATGACAGGCAACTTCTGGAAAAGCAGAAAATAAAAAATCCTAAGTAACAAGGAACAAAGGCTAATTTTCATAGAAAGAAATTATGCCTCGACAGAAATTAATCTATAAAAAGATTCTTGGCCTCTTCTAAGATTTAACCTGGGAGTATGGGTCCTATTAAGCTATATATTATAGCTGAAAAGAGAAGCAAGTTTACCTGGAGGCCTTGAATGTATATGTGGAACTAGACACAAAACAGTGTATGTTCATGATGAGAGTTGTTTTTGCCTACCATATTCATCAGAAAATAGCCCTTGGCTTCTTGAGTTTACTTTGTTAATATTTTATATGAGTTCTAATTTTTTTAAAATCTCTGTAATTTTTGATGGTAGAGAATGTATCCTGTTTATCAAAGTATGCAGTCCCATTAGTTCTAGGAAGTGGGAAAAAAAGTAGACCACTTTCTTTTCTTCTTTGAAACTAATTCTATAGTTATCTGTAGAGTTCATTGCAGAGTTGGAAATTCTACATACCCATTTTATACATAATAAAATATACAACTATGTTAACAGATTTTCTATTTTTACATAGGATCCAAATGAAGATACAGAATGGAATGAAATTTTAAGAGATTTTGGCATTCTCCCTCCAAAAGAAGAGCCAAAAGATGAAATTGAAGAGATGGTTTTACGTTTACAGGAAGAAGCAATGGGTATAATTGTGCTTCTGGTGGGCTGGATGAAGGGGATTATACAGTTATGATAATGATAGTGTATTTTATAAACTTCAAGGGAGAGAGGACATTGGAAATCATTTAACATGTCCCACACTTACTTTTGCTGATATATAAAATTCCTAATTCACATGTTGAAATTCACATGCTAGTTAATCACAGAGCTAAAGTTTCCTGATATCTAACCTAGAATTTGTGTTGACAGTCACGTTAGTTAATAACAGAGCTGAAATTTACTAATACTTAACCTAGTGAGCTTTTATTCCCTATCTGCCATATTTTTCTACCTTGTGATAACATCCTATTTTGATCTTTCTATATAGTATGTATTATTTGTCAAAATTTCCTGGTACTTGAGAAAAATCTAAATTTATCGGGTCTATTTTATTATTATTATTTTTCCATCACCATTTATCCCCCCATACCCTCTTCTGCCTCTCACTGACTTTTATACCTACTTTGAAATGTAGCATGGTAGTTCTGTGAACTCTGTTTATAGAGTAATAACTCTATAAACGAACATGAAGCAGTCAGCTACAAAGTAGTCTTATATATTGCAGATACTGCAACATTAAAGACAGTCTTGATCTCCATTTATTTAATATATCTTTTTTTTTCTGGACAGGTGAATATAAAAGTAAAATTAAATTTTAAATAATTCAGTTTTCCACAATTTATTTTGTTTTAGTTAAACCATATGAAAAGATGACTCTTGCACAGTTGAAGGAAGCTGAAGATGAATTTGATGATGAAGATATGAGAGCTATTGAAACATATAGGTACAGTGATTCATTGGGATAATTTATGAGTTTTGGAAAGAGGTATTATAAGAATGAAACTAAGATAAAGCCCTAATTTCTGTACAGAATAGATTAAAAAATAACAAAATTAGCTCTTAAGTAAGACTTTAAAACTAACATATAAGGTAGAATTTTTTTCCTGATCATTTTCCCCTTTACTTAAATTAAAAACTGTCCAATAATGTACCACAGAACTTCATCAAGTGATGCGAGTGAAGTGGAAAATATCAATAAACAGCCAATAAAAAGAGGGGCATAACTTTCCTTTTTATTTAATATTAACTTTTAATATACATTTTATTGGTTATGCTATTATAGTTGTCCCATTTTTTCCTCCCCTTTATTCCCCTCACCCTACACTGTCCCTGCCCCCCGCATGCCCCCTCCCTTAGTTCATGTCCATGGGTCATACATATAAGTTCTTTTTTCTCCATTTCCTATATTGTTAACCTCCCCCTGTCTATTTTTTACCTACTATTTAAGCTGCTAATTCCCTATACTTTTTTCCCCATTATCCCACCTCCCCTTCCCCTCTGGTATCCATTTCTATTGTTCTGTTCCTGTTCTGGTTGTTTGCTTAGTTTGTGTTTGTTTTTTAGGTTCAGCTGTTGATCGTTGTGAGTTTGTTGTCATTTTACTGCTCATAGCTTTTGATCTTCTTTTTCTTAGATAAGTCCCTTTAACATTTCATATAATAAAGGCCTGGTGATGATGAATTCCTTTAACTTTAGCTTATCTCGGAAGCACTTTATCTGCCCTTCCATTCATTCTAAATGGTAGCTTTGCTGGATGAGTAATCTTGGATGTAGGTCCTTGTCTTTCATGACTCTGAATACTTCTTGCCAGCCCCTTCTTGCCTGTAAGATTTCTTTTGAGAAACCAACTGATAGGTTTATGGGAACTACTTAGTAGGTAACTATCTCCTTTTCTCTTGCTGCTTTTAAGATTCCCTCCTTATCTTTAATCTTGAGTGACTTAATTATGATGTGCCTTGGTGTGTGTTTCCTTGGGTCCAACTTCTTTGGGACTTTCTGAGCTTCCTGGATCTCCTGGAAGTCTATTTCCTTGGCCAGATTAGCGAAGTTCTCCTTTAGTATTTTTTCAAATAAGCTTTCAATTTCTTGCTCTTCCTCTTCTCCTTCTGGCACCCCTATTATTCATATGTTGGAACGTTTAAAGTTGTCCCAGAGGTTCCTAAGCCTCTCCTCACTTTTTTGAATTCTCGTTTCTTCATTCTGTTCTGGTTGAATGGTTATCTCTTCCTTCTGCTCCCAATCATTGATTTGAGTCCTGGTTTCCTTATCTTTACTGTTAGTTCCCTGTAAATTTTTCTTGATTTCTCTTTGTGTAGCCTTCACTTTTCTCTCCATTTTGTGACCATACTGAACCAATTCACTTACCATCCAGATCACCAGTGTTTTGAACTGTGCATTTGATAGGTTGGCTGTCTGTTCATCACTTAGTTCTATTTTTGGAGCTTTGACCTGTTCTTTCATTCAGGCCATATTTCTTTGTCTCAGTGTGCCTCTTACATTGGGAGGGGCAGAGCCTTAGGTATTTGCCAGGACGGGGCAACCCAGGTCCTGCATTGTGACACTGTGTGTTGGGGAGAGGTCTGAGAGGAAACAGTACTGCTTGCTGGGCTCTCGGCTGGCTTTCAGTCACTTTCCCCACTACCCACCAGAAAATTGGGCCCTTCTGGTGCTGATTTCTGAATAAATGGGTTTGTGCTTGCTCTAGGACCCCATGAGTCTAACAGACTCTCCTGTGAGGCTGGGAGTTTCTCCTGCCACCGCAACCCCCACAGGTTTTTACCTCCAGATGTTTTGAGGCTTTCTTTTTCCCGCACTAGAAGCCTGGATTGCGTAGTATGTCTCGTTCCTCACCTGTTCCTCCTGGTTTATCCGCATGCAAATGTGGGAGCGCTTGGTCTGCCGGCTGCCACCTCGCCCTCCCAGTCCTCCATCCTCCACTGTGCTGTGCGTCCTCTCTGTCCCAGCTGGCCACCTCTGCCCCTCCTACCAGTCTGGACAAATGTTTCTTCTTTAGCTCCTCAGTTGTCAGGCTTCCATACAGTTCAATTTTCTGGCAGTTCTGGTTATTCTTTTTTTAAATTTGTTGTCCTTCTTTTGGTTGTGTGAGGAGGTAAAGTGTATCTTCCTATGCCTCCTGAGGGCCATAACTTTCCTTCTCGCATGCTATTTGTCAGTGATTTTAATCGTTTAATAATTAATTGCAAGTCATGAATTCTCTCAGAAATTGGAGTAACTGCCTACGTTACCCAACTTATCTTGATATTAAAACCAGACAAATTGTAAAAATGATATGCTATAAAAAAAATTTCTTATGAATGTTGACACAAAATTTTAAATAAAATATTAGCAAATTAAGTCTAGCAATTTTTTAAAAAAGTATAATGTACCTTGAAAAGTAGACCTGGTCCCAGGAATGCAAGGTTCTTTTAACATTAAAAAAAAGTCAGTGAATTGGTTTAGATGCAGCAATACTCAAGTAGCAATGAACACACCTAGCATGCATAAAAATAGAACCAGTATGCCTTTGAAAAACTGCTTTATTCTATGGTGTAAGTTGAGAAAGTACAATATGAGTCTTGGGCATCTTAAGGTACCAGCAAGCAAAGAAGTGATAACATTTTTTTAAAAAGCTTTTATTTATTTATTTTTAGAGAGAGGGGCAGGGAGGGAGAAAAAGAGGGAGAGAAACATCAATGTGTGGTTACCTCTCATGCGCCCCTTACTGAGGACCTGGCCCACAACCCAGGCACGTGCTCTATTGGGAATCGAGCCAATGACCCTCTGGTTCACAGTCCAGCACTCAATCCACTGAGCCACACCAGCCAGGGCTTATAACATTTTTTTAAGGCATAGGAGCCAGACTAAAAGATCTCTCAATGACCAGAGTTGGAACAAATTGAACAACAAAATAAATATTGGATTATAAAATAAATAATAAAATAAATACCTTTGAGCTCATAGTGATATAAATAATTAACTGAATACATGAACAAGTTTAGAAGAAATAACACTTCTTCCTTACTAAAGAATTCTAATTAATAAGTGTGTATGGAATGAGAAAAATAGAAAAATCACCTTCAGAACACCACAGCAATAATCCCCCATGGGCAAGATCTGCTGATAGATGCTAAAATGAGTGGGTGAAATTTTAAGACACATGGTATTTGCATAATCTCAAAGTATCTCCCCTCCGAATATGTACGAATTATAAAGGAGGAAATTGTAAGTTTACAGTGTAGAGTTTTGGTGGACCACATCTTAGGGAGATGACAAAGGTTAAAATTACAAATGATACATGGAGATACTAGATAACTCCAGATATGGTGTGTTGAAAAGGATGCATACCTTCTATGGTATCTTTTTAAATAATTCATAACCTAATCTAATCACAAGAATACATAAGAGAAACTGAAATTTGAGGGACTTTCAAAAAACTAACCAGATTGCCCTTACCGGGTGGCTCGGTTGGAGTGTACACCAAAGGTTTGTGGGTTTGATCCCCAGTCAGGGAGCATATGCAAGGCAATTGATTGATGTTTCTCTCTCGCGTCAATGTTTCTCACTGTCTCTCTCTCCCTTCCTCTTTCCCCCAAAATCAATAAACATACCTTTGGATGAGGATTAGAAAAAAAACTGACCAGGTTTATGTCAGGAAAGATGGCAGAGCAGAAAACCCCAGAAATCCTTTTTTTTAACTTAGACAACAATTGTATTGGCTGAAACTATCAGAAGTGACATCTTTGGAACTCTGGAGTCTATTTGAACACTTGCAGCTTCCAGCATAAAGCTTTGCTGGTAAATTGTAGTTAGTATTAGTTGATTTCAGCCCTTAGTTGGTAACAGCATTCCAGAACTCACCCTCTAGCTCCATGTCAGGCAGCTGCTTAGACAGCAACCTTTATTTCTGAAAATTTCCTGGAGCAGGGTGGACAATAAGGACTTTGTTGTCAAATATCAGGGTTCTCTCTTCTGATTGTAGATTGCTGCTTCTGATTGCAGAGGTACAGGCACAGAGTCTGGTCATCATTGTGTCAACCCCCACTGGCTAAGGTAGCTTCCAGGGCATTTAAAGGAGCAACATCTATTTTTTAAAGGACATTAAAAGACAACCCTATATATGGGGGGATTTAAAAGTCTTGGAAAAGATGAAAACTCAGAGAAGACCTAGCAGTTTCACCTCAGGCTGATCCCTGGCATTGAGACACCCTACAATAATAATAAAACAAACTATGGGGAAGGAGGAGAATCTGATTTCCAGAGTTAGCACATTATATAAATCAAACGTTTAATTTTCAACAAAAAAAATTACAAAGAAACAGGAAAGTGCAACCCCTTCAAAGGAACAAAATAAATACAAAAAATACCTGAGGAAGCCCAGGTGTCAGACTTACTAGGCAAAGACTTTAAGATAGCCGAGTTAAAGGTGCTCAAAGAGCTAAAGGTAGACATGGACAAAGGCAGGAAATCATTGTATGAACAAAATGAGAATACAGAAATAGACAGAAATTATAAAAAGGAACCAAAATAATAGTCTGAAACAAAAGAATAAGATAGTCAAAATGAAATAAACACTGAGGCTGTAAAAGAACATTTCAACAAGCAGAAGAAAGGATCAGCAAATTTGAAGATAGGACAATTGAAATTATTGAGCGATATAAAAAAAAGTGAACATAGCTTAATTGTCCTTGTGGTTACTATTAAGTGAACCAACATACGTAACATGGGAATCTCAGCAGAAGAAAAGAGAAATTGGCAGAAAGAATATTTGAAGAATTAGCCCTAGCTGGTGTGGCTCAGTGGCTTGAGTACCAGCCTGAGAATCAAAAGGTTGCTGGTTCAATTCCTGGTCAGGGCATAGGCCTGGGTTGCAGGCCAAGTCCCCAATTGGGGGCATGTAAGAGACAACCACACATCAAGGTTTCTCTCCTTCTTTTCTCCCTTCCC